CAGATGTCATAGAGCAGCGGTCCCCAACCTTTTTTGCGCCACTGACCGGTTTATGCCCGACAATATTTTCACGGACCGGCCTTTAAGGTGTCGCGGATAAATACAACAAAATAAAACTAGTACCGGTACCGAAAAAAAGAAGATTTATTCATAACACACGTGAAAAGACCCAGGAAAACCGAGTTAACAATAAAAACGATAACAAAATAACGCTGAAAACCGATAAAAACCCTAAAACCAGACATTTCACACCCGAGCCTCAATTCTCACGGCCCGGTACCAAACGACTCACGGGTCCGAGGCCCGGGGGTTGGGGACCGCTGTCATAGGGCACACACCTTCAACTTTTGCCTCATCAGTCTCGTCAGAATATTTTCCCAAATGTCTTGGGGGATCATCGATATGTTTTCTGGCAAAACTGAGACAAGCCTTTGTCTTGGATCCTTGTCATGCACTTATGGTGGAGTCATGAACACTGACCCTCACCTGCGGTTCTTCAGATGTTGTTCTGGGGTCTTTTGTGAGGAATCGTCCCTGCACTCTTGGAGTCATTGTGGTCAGCCAGCCTGGGGAGGTTCACCGCTGTTTCATATTTTCACCATTTGTGGATAACGGCTCTGACTGTGGTTCACTGGAGTCCCACAGCTTTAGAAACAGCTTAATAACTTTTATAATTGATAACCCTAACTTAATAAAGCTTAATAACCCAGACAGACAGATCTCAATTACTTAGTTTCTCATTTGTTCCTGAAATTCTGCTGCTCCACTTTGTGTCGACTGAAAGGTCCTATTTAAGTGTTTTGTTTGGGTGGGTCTGGGTGTGGCTAGAGAAATTGAATTCTGTTTTTCAGAGATGTGACACACCACAATTAATTTTTGTTATCATTCAGGGTCACTTGTTCATACAGGGCCATGTAGGTTTGGAGGCCAAGGAATAAAAGTGGGTTTTCAATTGAATTTTGAAAGTGTCTAAAGTGTGACAAACATACAAAAAAAAGGAAATAGGAAAGGGGCAAACACTTTTTCATACCGTGGTAAATATACTCTTCAATAAAGTGATTGAATTTCTGCTGTTATTGTCATGTGCTTATAAATGTCGTTTATCTTCTGCTTTACCGCGTGATTCAGGTCCTTTATGTTTTATCTTGTCTTCTGTTTTGTTACTGTCGGGGTTTCCTTCTGTTTATTCCCATTGTGTTTCCATTCTGTTCCTCCTTCTGTGTCTTTGTTTTGCTGTGATCCCCAGTGTTGTCCGTCTGTCTTCCCCTGTATCAGCTCTTCTGTTTAGTTGTGTCTTACTTCCTGTTTTATTTTTAGTAGTTGTGTCTTTGTGTCTTGTGTTCACTTTAACTTGCTTCCAGTCTCATTGAACTATTTCTCTCCAGGTGTGTGTCCACAAGTCATCTCTCTCCTTTATTTCCTCCCTCAGTCTTCCCTTCTTCGTTGTTGCATTATCCTCAAAGCTGTGTTCTCCAGCTCTGGTCACTAGATTGTTGTTTATCTCCTTCATCTGTGTTGCCTACAATAAGTTGTGTTGTTTGCAATCACTGTTGAAGATGTACTCTGAGTTGTAACTCGTTCCCTTACTAATTAACTAATACAGATGGTTAGGGCGTAATGAAATCTAAAATTATTACATTATCCTGCTTAACTTGTGTTTCAAAAAGAGGGTCGTCTGGCTGTTTCCTCACTACACACAGAACATTTGTTGACTGCTTTCACTCTCTTATGTAAAGCTGATACGATTCCCATCCTTTCTGCTGTGACAGGGGGATGTGGGCGCTGATTCTGTGCATTCAGAGAGTACTGCAGTAATTAGAGGTCTCTGTTTGATAAGCTATCTGAATGGCTGCATCAACAGCTGTCTGCTCACACATCACAGGCAGTATTTTACATCTACCATTTGTGATGACGGCTAAAAGCACCTGACATTTCCTTTCCTCGCAATTAATGCTCAAAGTAGTGAACTTTTCATGGAGTCTAGGTCTCCCACCCAGCTAATATCACTATCTTTAATCCATCATTAAGACCCAACTGGGAAAAAATGAAAGGCACCTGAGTGCATTTTTATTAACAAAGCAGAACGTGACATATATATTTTAGTCTAATGAAATGCTTATGTGCTTTTGTAGCTTTTACTATCTTAAATAAGTATAAAAGTGAGTTAAAGAATAAGTGGGTGTTGTCATGGTGTGGGGGAAAGAACACAGTACCTGTATGGATGGGTGTGAATGAGGCATGTTGGATAAATCACTGTGAGTGTTCACGTAGAGCAGATAAGCCCCATATTAGAACCAGCACATTCACCATATTCACAATGAAAATATATCTGTGCACACGAGTCAGAGAGAGAGAGAGAGAGAGTGTGTGTGTGTGTGTGTGTGTGCGTGCGTGTGTGCGTGCGTGTGTGTGTATGTGTGTGTGTGTGTGTGTGTGTGCGTGCGTGTGTGTGTGAGAGAGAGACGTGCTATGATGCATGATTGAGACATGGCACTGACAAAAAGACACCGACCTGCAGTTGGCAGAGCTGAAGATTTTCAGTTCAATGAAATTGACATTTTATTTGCACCAAATCACAGCATCAGTGGCCTGGAGGTGATTTATACTGTAAGATCCTACAGTAATATAGAGACAACCCGAACAATCAGATGACCTCCTATGAGCAACCACATGGTGACAGTGGGAAGGAAAAACACTCTTTTAACACAAAGACATGGTTAGACAGCGTGTTTCTAATATTTATAGGGGTGAATACAATAACCACAGTTTTATCTGAATTTAGAAACAGGAAATTAGAGATTATTCAGGCTTTTGCATTTTTAAGACTTTCCTGCACTTTAACTGGTTTATCTCCTCTGGCTTCACTGATATACATAGCAATGAAAATATATGCTGCATCTTCTAAAGCTGCATAAGGGCAAAATACAGTATGTGTACATTTGGATCAAGGCCTGCTTTTGGTATATATGGTTATTACGTCGAGTTCTACAAGAACTTTTGAAATGTGATTACTCCCCTGACTGATTTGTCAGATCATGTTAATCTTTCGAGCGCATTTCTGAGTGTCAGGACTCAGATCAGCCGAGGCTCTGATCGCCCCTGATTTTGCTTGAGACCGATAGCAAAGCTCAGGGTACAAGCACAGTAGTTTTGCAGGTGTCTTTGACAAGGCCGTGTGCTATTTTTCACAGAAATCCAAAGAACACCACACGAACCACAATAAACCCTGTGTTACGTTTGTCACAGCAACATTTTGAGGTGTGTGTTGGTTTCAGCTCCACCGCAGCTGTTGCAGACACTGACTACACCTTGTGTTCCTGCCTCTGCTGTAAGCCGACAGTCAGCATGTTGTGGGCTGGTCTATACCGCTGGAAAAGGTCAACATTGAGATTCACCATCTGAAAGGGACTGATGCTCGGTGCCATGTAGAGTTGGGTTAAAAATCTTAAGTTTGGGGTCCTCCGGGTGATCCACAGCTTTTGTATCATGTTTGCAAATATCGTAAATGTGTATCTTCCTCTAAAATCAGCGATAGATGCAGGAGTGGAAGTTCTTTTTAATAAACGGTTTGTTATAGAGACAGATAACAGAGCTTTTGGGTTTTGCCAAGTTTGGTAGAAAAAAAATGGGGGGGGGGGGGGGCAGGTAATATGATGTCATCACTGTACTTGTACTTGTCTCTCTCATGTTTTCAACTAAGGCTTGTTTATATAAATCTACATATACAGTGGGGCAAAAAAGTATTTAGTTGCCACCGATTGTGCAAGTTCCCCCACTTAAAATGATGACAGAGGTCAGTAATTTGCACCAGAGGTACACTTCAACTGTGAGAGACAGAATGTGAAAAAAAAATCCATGAATCCACATGGTAGGATTTGTAAAGAATTTATTGGTAAATCAGGGTGGAAAATAAGTATTTGGTCAATAAAAAAATACAACTCAATACTTTGTAACATAACCTTTGTTGGCAATAACAGAGGTCAAACGTTTACTATAGGTCTTTACCAGGTTTGCACACACAGTAGCTGGTATTTTGGCCCATTCCTCCATGCAGATCTTCTCGAGAGCAGTGATGTTTTGGGGCTGTCGCCGAGCAACACGGACTTTCAACTCCCGCCACAGATTTTCTATGGGGTTGAGGTCTGGAGACTGGCTAGGCCACTCCAGGACTTTCAAATGCTTCTTACGGAGCCACTCCTTTGTTGCCCGGGTGGTGTGTTTTGGATCATTGTCATGTTGGAAGACCCAGCCTCGTTTCATCTTCAAAGTTCTCACTGATGGGATCTTTGCTCACCGTTCTCATGATCATTTTGACCCCACGGGATGAGATCTTGCGTGGAGCCCCAGATCGAGGGAGATTATCAGTGGTCTTGTATGTCTTCCATTTTCTGATGATTGCTCCCACAGTTGATTTTTTCACACCAAGCTGCTTGCCTATTGTAGATTCACTCTTCCCAGTCTGGTGCAGGTCTACAATACTTTTCCTGGTGTCCTTCGAAAGCTCTTTGGTCTTGGCCATGGCGGAGTTTGGAGTCTGACTGTTTGAGGCTGTGGACAGGTGTCTTTTATACAGATGATGAGTTCAAACAGGTGCCATTCATACAGGTAACGAGTGGGGGACAGAAAAGCTTCTTACAGAAGACGTTACAGGTCTGTGAGAGCCAGAGATTTTCCTTGTTTGAGGTGACCAAATACTTATTTTCCACCCTGATTTACCAATAAATTCTTTACAAATCCTACCATGTGGATTCATGGATTTTTTTTCACATTCTGTCTCTCACAGTTGAAGTGTACCTCTGGTGCAAATTACTGACCTCTGTCTTCATTTTAAGTGGGGGAACTTGCACAATCGGTGGCTGACTAAATACTTTTTTGCCCCACTGTACGTCTGTGAACATGTGTATGCATGCATACTGTATACATGTGAATAATCATGTGATGCTTTGCTGTATGGCGGGCAGGATGCAGGACCCCAACGCAGGAAAATTAACTGAAAGCAGCAGCTTTATTGCTGAAGTCACTATTATCAGTATAAAACAAAACTAGAAACAGAAAACTCACTACAACACTAGAAAATAAACCAGGACCTGAGAATTAGAGTTACTTGGAGCACAGAGGACGAACCGCAGCATTGCGAGGGTACGACACGACAACTAACAGAGACAAACACGAAGGGCGAAGGTAATGGGAAACAGGAAGGAGGCACAGCTGGGGCTAGTCCAACATAACGAGACAAAGGAAGCAAAGCAGGATACACGGACATAGGACAGGAAACACAACACATATGCAAGACAGACTCGGAGACACAGGCTTCACACTGAGACGTGACTGACTCACGAACAGAAGCTCATGAACCAGGAAGTGTCTGATATCACACTTGAGAGTATATACGTTAATAATATTATACAAAGGATTATTTATCAAACATGCAATAAAGATTATATGGTAATGACGGATACACCAATATGATTGTTTTCATGTAATGTTCTTAAACAAAAGTTTCTGTTAAAAAGATCTTCAAAGCATAGTGAAGATAGCACTTGGTGCACTTAACAGCCTCGTGCCTGTTTGCTTGTTCCAAGCCTGTAAACTGTTACAATTCATAGAATAATAGGTGCTTTAAAAAATTTATGCAACAATGAACTTTTGATTACAAAATCTCTGAGCTCGTAGTGATATTGTTATTCTCCCTGTAGGCGAAGCAGCCGGGGAAAATCCCAATACTTCCTGCACAGTGTCCCTCCAGCCACTCCTGGTTAACTACAAACGAGCGTAACAGAGAAACAAAGAGGAAATTAATACTTTTTGCATCTAAACAGATGACCCAGGAATGTAGCATCAATTCAAATTGCAGACAAAAACAATGATTAGAAGTTTCACTTTGAGCCGTGGAGCCTCACCTTCACCGAGGATGTCAATAGTGTCACCTTCACTGAACTCCAGGTCTTCGGGCCCCTGAGCATCATAATCATAAAGGGCCACCATCTGGTAGAGGATAGTACGGCTGGCCAGGGGATCTTCTTTCTGCAGTTCAGTAGCACAGTGTGAGTAAGAGAGTGAACCTGTAAACTAGCTGAGATATCATTAGAGAAGCATCTTCACATTTTTTGGTGTGTGTTACAATTCGACACAAAAAGACAAACAGTTAAATGTAAATAACATTTTCTTTAAAAGTGTGGCAAAATTTCATGTTCGTGTTTTATTTTTGCATCATTGATAAATATAATATTTAAAGCTGAAATAATTAAGACAAAGTTACTTGCTGTCTTTTGCAGTGTAAAGTATTTTGTACTAGTATGTGCTCAAATATGGGACCTAACGGGACTGCTTGATCTTTTTTAAATTTCAGTAAGTCGTTACTGCAACATTTCAGATGTATCTGTTCTAAATTACGTCCTGATTTATTTTGTTGGTGAGAAGAACCTGTGAATATCTGAAGCCTTTAGCTTTGATAGTTTTTCACATATTTCTGTACAAACACTACCTCCACATTTTTGTGCACATTGAAATGTACACATGGAACAAAACGTATGAAAGTTTTGTAGAAATAAAAATAAGAAAAATTATTGAATGAGTTAGTACACACACATGCATATATAAATATATGCATGGAGGGGAAGAGCTACGCAGGACCCTCGAGCTTCCAGGCCTCTGGTAGAGGACCCGAGCTTGAAGGATACAGACTGTGGGGAAGACAGACAGGCAGGCAGACAGACAGACAGACAGACAGGCAGACAGGCAGGCAGACAGACAGGCAGGCAGGCAGGCAGGCAGACAGACAGACAGACAGACAGGCAGACAGACAGGCAGACAGACAGGCAGACAGACAGACAGGCAGACAGACAGACAGGCAGACAGACAGACAGACAGGCAGACAGACAGGCAGGCAGACAGACAGACAGACAGACAGACAGACAGACAGACAGACAGGCAGACAGACAGGCAGATTGAATCAGTTTATAGACTAAAATGTATTCTAACCTTTGACTCACCAAAGTAGCACCTTTGGCAGATAGAGCAGCTGAACAAACCTGTGCCAGTCATTCTACAATAGAAATCAAATATTCCCCATGAATGTGGACCTTGTCGCTGCTTTGCTTTCCCTCTTCTGTCCAGTTCAAACCAGCTGGATGGGCTTTAAGTCTGCAGACTGTGCTGCACACTCCATGTTTCCAAGCTCACCATCTTGTTCTTTGTTCCTGAGGTAGTTCTGGCACAGCTTGGACTTACGTTTGGGTCGTTATCCTGCTGTAGGATGAACCCCTGACCAACTGCACACCAGAGGGTCCTGCATGGAGTGCTGTGGTAGCTGTTTTGGTTCAGGGAGCCTCTCACTCTGTACGAGTCACCGACCCTGGATCCAGCAAACAGCCCATCACACTTCCTGCTCCATGTTTGACAGTTGATGCCTCACACTGAGGATCCGTCCTTTCACCTACTCGACAGCGCACAAAGACGTGATGAGCCGAAGATTTCAAATTTAGTTTCGGTCCATAAAACCTTCTTCCAGTCTTCAGTAGTCCTGCTGTTTTATGGCTCAGGCAAACCTCTTGTCTTATTCTGACGTCTGGCTTTCTTGCTGCAGCTCGTCCTGTCAAACCTGCACCTCAAAGTCTTCACAGCTGAAACTGAGACTTGCTCACTACGACCACTATTAAGCTGCTTGAAGCTGTTGTCCTGTGAGCCGCCATCACACAGCTGTTAACTCTCAGAAACTTGTCCTCTGAGTCGTGTCTTTGGGTCTGCAGACGTCTTCCTGTCACAGTTTGTTTCTGAGCCTTTGGATGGTGAAGGAAACTGGACTCACTGACAGCTGCAGTTTCTCTGTAGGACAGACCTACTTTTATAAGTGTTATGATGATGGTCTCGCTTCCATTGTCAATTGCCTTTCCCCCCATTTGTGTAGCAACACTCTACTTTCTGCAGTACAATACTGTTTAACTGATGCTGACGAGCGTATGGCACCACGGTGTGTCCAGCACTGCTTCTATGCAGGCAGAGGGGGGAGTAATCCAGAAAGTTGGAACAGCTGCAGGAATTAGTAGCAGCAGCTTTCAAGGCTTGATCAACCTGCATTGCTGCAGAACAGTTTTAACCCGTTAACCCTTGTTGTTCCTGAAAAAGGCTTTTTGTATGATTCTGAAATGTACATTATTTTTCAGTTTTGAGTAACTGCACCTTTGTTTATCCTCTGGCAGTTCACCCTCACCTTTGTACCATTTCAAGCTGTTCATTGGACTGAATGACTTGTAATAAATAACTGGAATAATTCTGAATTTAAAAGTTGTAAAACTTTTGACTGGTAGTGTAAATGAATGAAGGTACTAGTAGTTGTGGTCTTTCAGCTGTCCATTTGGAAAGTGTGCAGTATATGCAAGCACTGGCTCTATAGACAGGGACACTGTAGCTAACTACTATGCCCTTCGTGTCTGATTCTGTTCTGTTGCTTTTAGTTATTCCACAGCAGATCTTCTGGGTCAGCGTCACCCTTTCCGAGCATCCTCTTCTGTCGCACCAACCTTGTGCATGTCCTCTTTCACTACATCCATAAATCTTCCTCTTTTGTTCCTGCCTTGCAGCTCCATATTTCAATCCTTTGCCCACTATAATAACTATAATCCTCCCTCCTCTTCCCGTCCAAACCATTTCAGGCTTCCTGCCTTGTTATGAACATAAACTAACACAACATTTATAACGTGTGGGGAAGCTGGTGGCAGTGTTGCTGTGACACCTCCACCACCATATTTAGTTTAGATACAAACCTGGCACCACAGGGTAGCTCTGCCGGCCTCAGCCAACTGTTGCACAGTGTGAGCCGACTCGATTTCCCCGTCCAGGGGTGTCAGCACGCAGGAGCCGTGGTGCTTACGTCTAATGAGAGAGGACGAGGGAGTGAGAGGAAGTGGTGGATCAGCAGGAAAATAGATGAAAAACTGGCAGATGAGCAGGAAAATACAGAAAAGGAAAATCTTCTGCCTGTTCATGTTTGATGTAGATGTCAGATGTCTGTGCACACTGTAACATTCTTACTCTGATGGAGGGCATTTGTTTGTCAGCTTCTGCTGTTACCTGAGGCGCAGATGAGATGCCGGCTGGTCCAATTTCTCTGCGACTCGTTCCTTAAGTTCACTGTATGTCGTGTCCAGAGGGACAGACAGAGCCACAGTGTAAATGTAGTGAACCTTCACCACCACAGAGTCTGCCTCTGCTCTCTGAGCTGAGCTGGCATGCTGCGAATACAAGAGCGTCTAAAGATAAATCATTGGAAAACAGGTTTTTTAGATATAATTTTTTGTCTATTTTTTGTTAAGGTTTGTGAACTAAAGCTGCCTGTGTAGCGGTGTGGTTGCAGCCAACCAACTGAATAGCCCTCATTCATTCATTATGTCATTATATCATTCACCTGCAGTCGTCATTTCAAACATAAGAGACATGAGGCCCAGTATGTACCCAGTGTTGGGTTTGTCCTTCCTCGGCTACTGCAGACACACGATGAGCTCCATGGAAAGGCTGGAGCTATACACTGCTGTAACTGGTTGTGTAATTTGCTGTTCGCTGTCAGCCAACTGATGACGTACTGGACATTTCTAAATGCTGTACGGGCAATTAAATTGTTAGCTAAGTGACTTATTTCATGTTTCTGCAAACTGCTTCGCTGCTGGCTGGTATGTTAAATAAGTTTGAAAAGAAACTCAAACAAATAAGTGATTAGTTTAGCTTTGAGTTTTGTTTTAGCTCAGAACAGATGTGACAACATACCAGTGTCACAAACATCTGCAGCACTGCATGCATGCGCTGTGTCGCAAAATCTCAACAAACCGTCTAACGACTGAAGATCTTTTGATTTTCAGGAATCTTACTAGGTTTTAATGTTTTGTGCTTGTTGTTGTTTGATTCAAAGACTTCTCTCTACTCACCTGAATAATTTAGCAAAAAATTCATATCAGAGCCCAAAGTGAAACCTTCACAACGCTGTTTAACCAGCAGCACCAATATTCACGTGTCAGAACAAGAATATTTACTCCAAAATCAAACACGTCTGCTGTCCTCCAGTGTCACAGTGACTTAACTGGAACAAATCAACATTGCGCTGTTAAGTTCAACTTTACAAAACGGTTTCTTCAAATGCACAAAACTTATTATATTTAGATCAGGGAAAAAGTGTGTGCATTTGTGTGTCCGAGGCAATCAGCTGTGAGTCCTTCTTTCAGTGCATCGGCTTTCATCTTTCGAAGGAGGATTTACCTGCTCTCGTGCTTTGGCTGTGCATTTGGGAGTCTCAGAGTGGGTGGCAGTAATGTAAGATGGAGGAGGTGTGTCTGAGGTAAGATGTCCTGCAGGGAAACCACAGTAAAGGTGCATATCAGCAAACACAAAAAGGATGAAAGCCACTAGAACCAGCAATGATTTTTTTTAATCGTTGTTTTATCTCCAGTCTTCAGTGCAGGCTTTATCTTCCAACAATACAACTAAAAAGAACAACTCACCAAACACATATAACCAGTAAAGTAGATTTCATGGAAAACCATCCTAAGAGCTGCACAGTGTGTGCAGTAGCATCATCCATTACACAAAGGCACAGACAGTCTTCCATGATACTGTGTAGTGCATCAAAATATTCATGCATTTTTCTGCATTCACAATTTTATCCATTTTGACGAGACCCTCAACACCACTGGCTGAGATGCAGCCCCAAATCACGAGACAGCCTCCACCTTGTTTTACAGATGTCTGCACACGCACACGTTGCACCTCTCTCCTGACCTTTACTGAACATTGAAACAATTTGAACTCAAATCTGACTGTTTATGACAAGGCTTCAGCCAACAGTCGATGGATTGTGGCTCAGTTGTGTTGCAGTGGGTTCGGGGGGCGGTGGCAGGAGGCTATCAGAGGGGACTGATTGTGTAATTGTGCGCTCTCTGTTCTAACAGGCAGCTGGGCCTACACTGTAAAAAATGATGGATGTTACATTTACAAAAGTTTAACTTTCTCCGAAAGTTGATTCTGTTCATCTGGACGTTTTCAGTCACTCGTCAGGTGATGTCTTCAGTCTCAGCTGACTGCAGGTTTCAATCTTATAAACAGCACATTTGCATAATGACTGAAACCAGCCCACTGAAGGAACAATGGGCTGGGAGGGCAGTCTTATAGTTTTTTTACAGCCGCTAGGACACATTTCCCAATACTTAGGTCACTTTTGCAAAACTCTTCACACAATCCTCCTAACTGACCGTCAGCTTGGCAAAGCAGTTCATTTCACACCATCCACTGATACACATACAATAGTAATGCTATTCTACTCGGTCTTCTCCATTTGGCCACAGGTTCTCATCCACATCACATCTTATGTCATCTAGGGCAACACACCTAGGAAAGAATCTTCTGGCTGCCAGAATTGAAGGAGTTGAAAAATTGAAGGAGTAACACCTGTGTAGATGTTCATCTACAATGAGAATCAGCTGTGGCTGGTTAAACTGCATTTTTAGATTTAAAATATGTTTCAATAAAATATTGTTGTTGCATTTTGCTGTCTTTTTAAGTTTTGCATTGTGTTATTGTTTTGGCCATAAGTTTAACATTTTTGAAAACAGTATGTAAGCACATGCAAAATGTCCTGTACGTACAAAGATTTTTGGCAGTTGTTGTGTCTGAGTGAGAAGATGATTCATGAAATTTGAGAGATGTAGTCATTGAATGCATTTTGTGCCAAAACAATGATAACTGGTCCTCAGTTTAGCCCACATAGACTTCTGTTGTGCTCACTGTGTGAGGACTTTTGCAAACGTGACCTAAGTATTGAGACATGTGTCCTAGCGTCTGTAAAAAACTGTAATTATGCAAATTCTCATGACCACTTGCATCCCAGTCACGGAAGCGTTGGAGGCGGTCCGTAAGAGATTACAGGATGACCCCAACCTCAGCAACAGGACCGCTCTCAGCATCGACAGTGTGTGTTTGAACTGTGTCTTCATTCCACCTACTTCACATACAAGGCTCAGTTCTACAGGCAGAAACATGGGTGTGCCGTGGGCTCCCCAGTTTCAACCATCATGGCCAATTTGTACATGGAGGAAATGGAAAAGAGGCCTTTGCTATCCTACCCTGGAACACCACCAAGCCATTGGTTCAGATATGTGGATGACACCTGGCTGAAAATCAAATCTCAGGACCTACCACATTACCACATTAACTCTGTGGACCGACACATCAAATTCACCAGGGAGGATATGAAAAGGGGCAGGTTAGCCTTCTTAGACTGTGAGATTTCCATCAGTAATGGGGGACATCTAAAGCTGACGTGTACCGTAAACCTACACATACGGATCAGTATTTAAGGTTTGACTCTCATCATCCACTGGAGCACAAACTGGGTGTCATTAGGACGCTACAACACAGAGGGAACACCATCCCCACTGACACAGCAGCCAGGGAGGCAGAAGAACATCAAGAAGGCCCTGAGTAAATGTGGTTATCCCAGCTGGACTTTTGTTAAAGCTGGGAAGGCACCTAAAGAAAGCTCCAGCTGATCCAGGAGAGAAGGACAACCGCTGCCCAAGCGAAAACCTGTAGTGATCCCGTACGTGTCAGGAGTATCAGAGCAGCTGAGACGCATTTTTTCTAAACACTGGGTCTCTGTGACCTTTAAACCCCAAAACATACTGCGCCAAAAACTGGTCCACCCCAAGGATCGGGTCCCCCGACACAAACAGAGTAACAGAGTGTACGCTGTTAAGTGCAGGAGGATTGGTAGGATTTATACATCGGGGAAACCAAACAACCTCTGGCTAAGAGGACGGCACAACACAGCAGAGCCACCTCGTCAGGCCAGGACTCTGCAGTCTGTTTACACCTACAGGCCAGTGGACACTCTTTCAATGATGAGGATGTAACATCCTGGACAGGGGGGAGCGCTGGTTTGAGGGCCGAGTCAAGGAGGCCATTTACATGAAAAGGGAAAGACCATCTCTGAATGGAGGAGGGGCCTAAGGGTACATCTGTCACCATCTTACATGCTGTGATTGCAGCCATTCCCCACCTCTCTGTGAATGGGACTCATGGCCATTGATCAGTGGTCTTTGATCAGTGGTTGTTGATCAGTGGTCATGAGACTTTGCATAATTAAAATTAAGGAACTGCCCTCCCAGCCCATTGTTCCTTCAGGGCTGGTTTCAGTCATTATGCAAACGTCCTGTTTATAAGGTTGAAACCTGCAGTCAGCTGAGACTGAAGACGTCACCTGATGATGACGAAACGGTTCTCCCACAAAACGCTACGTCCAGGTGAACAGAATCAACTTTTGGAGATTTACTTTCCTGGATGATTGAGATGCATCAAAAGTCTAACTTGTAATTTGAAAATAATTTCATGTTTCTATGGTGAAGGTAATTAAATCATGTAGGATCTTTATGAAATTCAACAACTTAATTTGTTCTTGTTGAGATGACGTGATGCAATCTAGTGAGAGTGGTTAGGTGCTGGACTCAAGAAATTCACAAGATCGCACGAGATTTCAAACTGCAGGAAAATCCCTGGAGTTTTAAAAGGCAACTACACACACACCATGTATGCTCGACACTATTTATTGTGGTTTGACCTGTCAAGGACAAAAACATACGGAAAAATTCTGCATCAAGCCTTGAAATCATAGCCTTTCCTACATTTGTTGAGCCTAGATTGACAGCTTGGTGGCGTGGTGGTTAGCGCTGTTGCCTCATAGCAAGAACATGGGTTCAAATCCACAATCTGGCTAGTTTGCAGTGGGTTCTGTCTGAGGACTCTGGCTTCCTCCCACAGTTAAAAGTCATGCAGTTATTAGAGCTAGGTTAATTGGTGATTCCAAATTACCCTAAAGTGTGAATGTAAGTGGTTGTTTGTCTCTATGTGATAGACTGGTGAGCTATCCAGGTCGCACTCTGCCTCTTAACCTGTCACTTCTGGGTTATACCCCTGCAACCCGGACAAAGCTAGGAGGATGGTAGTGGCTGTAAACCCATTCAGCTTTTATGTTAACCAGACTCTACACTTTGTTGAACGTTATGTATGAAGACAAATGTAATTATCTAAGTGCCCAAGTAGTACTGGGGTAAAAGTTAATGAATAGTGTTGGAGTAAAATGACAAAATTGTGAAGGATTAAAATATTTCAAGAGCTCAACTTACTTCATTTAAACATGTTTCAATCACGTTTTATCAACACAACATGCACAGGCTTACTGAATATGAATAAGTACAGACGTACCTTAACAAGCATTGGCTTTAATGATCACCACAGGGTGATACTAATAGTTTGTTTTAGAAAAGACATTCCTGATTAGTTTATGGCAGAGGCGGGCAATTGAGTTTTCCAATGAGCCTGAAATCAGGTCAACAAGAAACTTCATAAGGCCTTCACAGCAGACCCAGTTTGTCATATCACCTGGTTACACATCAGATCATGACTGATTTCATGAAATAAAAGAAGTTCTTTCTATAAATTTTGTTCATTTAAAGTGTCAGAAAGGATTTTCTCTTTCAGGATATGACCACTGGCTAATGACTTGTGTTTGTCAAGTCACTGGTTAGTGAGCATGAAGTTTAACAGTCAAATGACCCCTCGCCATCACATCTATTTTCAGAACAAGCTGGCAATGGCAAAAGCCAACTAGCATTGTTTCTATTTAGCATAGTTTCTATTTAGCATTGTTTCTATTCAGCATAGTTTCTATTTAGCATAGTTTCTATTCAGCATTGTTTCTATTTAGCATAGTTTCTATTCAGCAGTGTTTCTATTTAGCAGTGTTTCTATTCAGCAGAGTTTCTATTCAGCATTGTTTCTATTTAGCAGTGTTTCTATTCAGCATAGTTTCTATTCAGCATTGTTTCTATTCAGCATTGTTTCTATTTAGCATAGTTCGCCCTGCTTTGTTTCCCTGATTAGTTCCAGCTGTGCTCCATGGTGTCTCCCCCTCCCTAATTATTTTATATGTGTTTACATCCTTTGTCACCCTCAGTCCCGTTTACGTTTTCATCACACTGTGTTCTTTAATCTGTAGTGTACTTATGATACTGTTAGCATTCCTCTTTCTTACTGTTCCACAGTTCCTCTAGTTCTGTTCCCCAGATCCTCCAAGTGTTTCCCTGGCATTTCCAAAGTTTCTCATGGAGTTTGGCATTTTTACTGCTTCCTGTTTAGTTGCTATTATGCCTCCAATAAAGGGCCGTTCTCGTTTTATCCCTGCCTGCTCTGATCCTGCGTTCTAGGTCCTCTTTCACCAGCAAAACTGACACAAATATGGCTGCTGTGTTTTACAAAGCTTTACTTTTCAGTACTAATTCAGTCTGTGAGGAGGATGCACCTTCATACTTCATCTGTGGTGCAACTCCAGGTATCCAAAAGTTAGTACTAGCACAAAACAGCTATACCAATTTATGTTGCCATGTCAACAGACATTTTAATATTTTATCCTTGTTCATCAGAGCATGAAACAAACTGGCGGCTGTTATCGTTCATATACAACAATTTGGCAGAAGATTTACTTTTAAATAAAAAAATCACACCGTAATCCTTTTCCTGGTTTCATGTCCGTTTTGTTAACAATGTAATACAACTGCAAATCTTAAGAGTACTGTGATTACAACCATAGTTACAAGTTTCATCATAAAGATTTTGTATTTTTATATTTTATGTTAAGAAAATCTTAAGAAGATTAAAATTACAGGGCCATCTGGCAAACATGAAGCCACGAGACCAAACAGAGAAAACATTACTGTAACGTTGGGATGATCTCTCACAGCGGAGAGTTGCTTTGAAGGAGCAAATGAAATGAAAAAAGGTGAAAAGGTTTAAGATAAACCAGAGTGTGAGTGATTTTTACCCTGAGGAGGAGCTGCAGGACTATGCTGAGACTGTGGGCGAGTGGGTGGCTTGAGTCCTGGTGGGAGGGGAATCCCACTGGAAATTATCTGTGGAAGGAAGCAGAACAGGAGAATAAATAATGAAGAGTTTTCTTTCCACAATGAAAACAGATTTGTCACAGAGCAGAAGCTTGTGTTTTTTGTTGAAATTGCCTTTAACCCATTTAATGTCACCAGACACAACAGTTGTGTTGTCTCATCTCGGTGGGTGAAGCAGAGAAGAACTTAGCAAGAATGTCATTTTGATCAATCTGTAAAGTGCCTCCATTAAAGCTCTTAAATGGGCGGCATGAACATGAATACTGTGTGTTGTGTTAGTCAAAGAGAAGTATATTACAGTGTCCTTTTTGCCTTTGGACGTCTTGACATCTGCTGGTTGAAGAAGGGATGCTGGCAGAAGTCCTCTCTGCAAAAAACGACTAAAAATTAGATTTGTAGCAATGAAAATAAAGCTTGTATACAGAAATTCTCAGTATTGTGACAGCAAAAGAATACATGCTCAAGAACCTGAGCAGGAATGAATACATATTAAGATTTATATAAAATATAAATAATAATAATAACTTTATTTATAAAGCGCTTTCAAACAAAGTGCTGTACAACTATCTGAAACTAAAGCGATAAATAAAATAAAAGCGATACATAGCAATACAAGTTAAACACAGTAAAAATGTAAAAACTCAAAGCCATAGAATTAAGACATGTAAGACTTTTAAAGACCTGCACAGAGCACGCCTGCCTAAGGTCTTGAGGGAGGCTGTTCCACAGAGACGGGGCACAAAAAGAAAAAGCTCTCCAGTTGTCTTTTTTCTGGCTCTAGGAACCTTTAGAACAGGGGTCCCCAATCCCAGTCCACGAGGGCCGGTCTCCCTGCAGGTTTTAGATCTCACCTGGGGTCAACACACCTGAATCACATGATTAGTTCATTACCAGGCCTCTGGAGAACTTCAGGACATGTTGAGGAGGTCATTTATCCATTTAAATCAGCTGTGATGGATCAAGGAGACATCTAAAACCTGCAGGACACTGGCCCTCGTGGACTGGGATTGGGGACCCCTGCTTTGGAAGGCCAGAGTCAGTCTGTTTAAAGTGATAATCATATTTATGATCAAAATAATGTTAGAACATTGGGAGAGGAGTGATGCTGGCCTGTAGTCTTAAACTGTGGTATAACTTCACACTTTTCATTTCATTTGGAAATGAACCAGTTCAAAGAGATAAGTTGCAAAAATAGGTTAAGAGCTCTGAAATACCATCAACTACTTTTATCAGTACCATTGCAATCAGCACATAATTAATTTTTGCACATATTAACAAAGGTTTTGACTTCAAACTCATCCAGAGAGAAACTGAATACAGATTATTTTGAATTAAAGTTTCCCTTTTATTGTCTCTTCCATGTTCTTGAATCTTTGCTGCTTAAATAAAAGTGATTAAATCCACTTACTATAATATTCATATTGTCAGATTCAAAACCCTCTTTCATTGTTTCAGATTGCAGGTCACTCCTCACCTGTCCATCATATATGACAGTGGCCATCCCATCTCTGTTCTCCTCTCCAAATAAAAACACCGTCGCGCCTCCAGGCACCGTCAGCTGTCCTGGTCCTCGTGCCATGTAAGGGACACGCACTTGCATGTATCGAGAATCCCTAACAGGTAACGGACAAAATAAGCTGTAAATCTACAAGCACGGCTTTGCTGTAGCCTTGTAGTAGCATCGGCCACACACATGTTCTGTGTCATCACGTAACAAACTCACTGAGCTCCATCCACATTCGGCTCGTAGAAGCCAGGTTTCTGTGCAGAGGACAATGACAGTTAGCATCTGCAGCAGCTCACAGTAACGTCACACATACGCTGTGGTCAGGCTCACCTGCTGCCTCAAAGGCTCAAAGCCTCCAAAATCATCATTGGGTATCATGGAGGAAATCACCTGCAAAGGGAGAGCATTACACATGAATGAATATAAAGTGCAGTTTAAATGATGTGTTTTAGTCATATTTCAACTGTCATACATTTAGTCAGGGCCGACGTTTATATTTATTTTAATGAGCTACACTTATCGGTTTGTTTGGGTTAAAATAACCTGATACATGTGCCAGGATTCATTTAAGCTTATTTTAAGAGCACATCTTAATCATTTCAATAATCAAATTGTCATAGTTCAGCATTTTGAGTTTGTGGACTTTTGAACCTTGTTGTCTTACAGTCATTTATGTCGTTGTGTTGTATGTCGCTCGATGCTGTCCTGGAGTTGGTGACTCAGTGTTGATGTTTCGATTAATATCATCTTTTGTTTCAGTTTAGTTCTTGTTATGTTTCTGGTGAATTTCTGCTTCTTAGGTTTTGATGCTTCCTCTGTCCTCTGTCTGATTGATTCGAGCTGCGTCTCCACCTGTTGCCCATCCTCTCGTTATCTCGTTAAAATTGAACTGAACTGTTAATTGCTGATTCTAAACGTGTCAGCCCTGCAACAGGCTGGCACCGTGGCCAGGGTGTGCCCTGCCTTCTCACTGTGTGACGGCAGGGATAAGACGGTCAGAAGAAAACGAATGGATGGATAAACACGTGTACCACAGGCACTCTCTACGTACCGTTGCTTTTCCCAAGAAGTCTCTTTGCTGCAGCTGCTCCACATCCTGTTTCCTGGGACGAAACACCACACCCTCAGGTACCAGGAGAGGATCCAGGGCCTGCTTATTCTGTTTTTAAAGTTATAGTAAAGAGTCTCATGATCATAAACTGACTCCCAGCACCGTGTTCATGCAGTGGTGCTGGTGTCAGTCACTGTGCAAATATCCCGTTTATAAGGCTGGAAACCTGCAGTCAGCTGATGATGACGAAACGTTTCTCCCCCTGAAAACTCTACGTCCAGATGGACACAATCAACTCTTGGGATTTACTTAGCGACAGCAGAGTCTTACTGTAATATTACTTTAGAATAATAAAATCACCACTTGTACTTAAGCGCCTATATTTCATTTTTTAAGTCTAGGCTTTAGACGTCATTGTAAGTCTTGTTTGGTGAAATATTTGTTTTATTTAAACCAACAACAGGTGACTCCATCGGCATTTTCTGCAGTCATTTGTCATGTAAAATTCTCACTGCTGGTCCATTTGATTGGACAATAATAAATACCATGGTAACCATAAAACCTGAGGAAGGCTTTGTGACATGTTCGGTTTTCCAACAGGGTCTTTTTTTCAGCTAAACCAGGATCGTACCAAGTAGTCTTTAACCTTAAACCTAAAAACAAATGAACTCACCCTGATGCTCTCCAAAGCTGCCTCCATGCTCCCCCCTCGTCCTGGTCCTTTCTCCTGGGAGGCTGACAGCAGGACGTCCCTGGCCTGCTCCCACTGGCCCATCTGACAATACACAGCTGCTGCATTGTATAACACCTTGGAACATATCACAGTTACCCGTTTTAGTGCATTCAAACAATTTCTGGTGAATGACAGGTTGTTTCTCCAGAATAGATTTGGCATTTAAAATGAAATGAAACTGCTTTATTTCAGATGTTCGCTGAGCAGCAGCTGAGCTGGTAAACTGGATATGTATGATTCTTGTGGACGATTGTCTGGACAACCACCACAGCTGTTATGTAGTTTACGTTATGCTGACTGTATCTGATGATGAAATGTTTAAAACTCACAGTGGCACACACAGTTGCACTGTTGTTTGGAACCAGTAACAAAACCATCACGTGTGTCTTCTTCCATTAACGAGGCTTTGACAGCTCACAGGTGTGTGGCTGATATTTGAACTACACAAAGGTGGTGATGAGACCGCACGGGGCTGAATTTCCTTTTTATGGCGTTTTAATGTGCACTGAACCGAATCCTTGATGATGGTGTGTCCTTGTGTCGAGGTGTGTGTAGGTGAGGCTGAATGTCAGACCTGCCAGCTGTACAGTTTAAATCTCAGTCCCAGCTGTTTGTAGTCGATCACTACGTTCTCTCGCATATGTTTCTGTGCCCAGATGTAGTCAGACAGAGCCTCTTCCAACCTGGAGAGAGAAAGAAATGCGGGCAGTATATTTAAAAACCTGAATAGCACACAATGTATAAATAATATAATCACATAGATACCACACCAGCGCCAAACTTTTCTGTCATAATTTGTCATGTTTTAGTAATACATGAACATCTTTCGTAGTTTCGTGTTTTCATATTACATCAGTGTGGCGGGGGCGTGGTCTGCGGTGCCGCTGTGTGAACTGGGTCCTGCTGTGGTGTTGTTGTTGTCAGTGTGTGAGGCTGAAGAGCAGGTCTGCCGCGGTTTGTTACAGTCTGTTTATTTGGTTTGTTTTTACAGTTTTTCTTCTTCATTGTCTGTGTGGCGCATATGATGTAACGTTGGTGGTGATGCGAGGTGCTACACATCTAAGTGGTTTTTTTATTATTATTATTTTTATTATTATTATTATTTTTTTATTATTTTTTTATATATTATTATTATTATTATTATTATTAATATATATTATTAATATATATATTTTTATATTTTTATATTTATATTATATTTATATTTATTATTATTTATTATTATTATTTTATTTTTATATATTATTATTTATTATTTAGTATTCATTAGTGAAGAATGAAGTAAATGTTCTTTTAGTTTTTCAGATTTTCCAATAAGCTGTTTTCAAATTTAACGTAATCTCTGTTTCTTAGTTTTAGATGTTTTTCCTCAGTTGATCCACTGAGAAATGAGTTGCCAGGAACTAATCCCAGCCCACCTCCCACACCTGTGGGTCTCTGGTGTATCAGTACAAAGGAAAATTTCACAATAGTTTTATTGTCTGTTCCAGCTTTCCACCACAATGGTCCACAGGCCGTCTCCCATACTCCTCATAATACACCCTTTAATGTATTTAGTGAATTAACATATGGCGTACTGCATATGATGGATGAATTATATGATTTTTGGTTATTTTTGTGTATTTAAATTGTGTATTTCGGCACATCCTGTTCTCTGCCTCTTTGTTCACATTTATCGGGCAAAATCTTAAGTTGTCATGAAGTCGAGCGTTAGCAACTATTACCAGATTTTATGTTTAGCTCTCATTTAAATCTTATTAATAATCCATCATATTAAAAAGTAAATATTGTTTGTCTCTTTGTGTTAGCACTCAGATGGACTGACCTGTTCGGACTTTAGCTGAATAATCAGGATTTATTACTGGGTGAGTGCTCCTGGAAGCGTAGCCTTCTGTCAGTCTGACTCTCTCGTATATAAATCATCACATCTTGTTTATGTTGACACTTTACACAGCGTCTTTTTGAGAAATAGTAATATGTACACAGACTACGAGTTAGTTTGAAATGGTCCTTCTTACCTGCCCATCTCCATCATCACTGCTCCTCGCTGGAAGAAGGCGACAGCAAGGCGTTCATCCTTAGCAATGGTTAAGTCTAAAGCCTGGATAGCAGAGAGGGGAAAGACGACATCAAAGCTTTACTGTACGTGTGTGTATACTCACGAGTGATACAGTAAATAATAATGCATGTACAGCTTTTTATTGACCTTCTTTGTATGTTTTTCTTCATCTTCACTTCTCCTCTTTATCTCTCTCTCTCTCAAACACACACACACACACACACACACACACACACACACACACACACACACACACACACACACACACACACACACACCAATGATCCACATACGATGCTCAGTTTGCTCATTTACAGCCTGGAAAGTCCAGGACGTTTCCTGATTTGACAGCGTTTGTGAAATAACCAGTAATCCCTGACAGCCACTGGTTAAAGATTATAGACGTTTCCATTTCAATCATTTGGAGTGACTCACCTTCAAGGCCAAATCCAGCTGCCCCAGGGCCAGGTAACATGAGGCAGTATTAAACAGCGTGCGAGAAGTGGGCTCACTGATCTCATTGAGTTTGGCCAGAGCTGTTGGCCAGTCCTTCGCATCCACAGCCTCGACCGAATTTTGCCACAGTTGCAGTAACTCAGTGTAAAGCATCTTGTAAGCCAGGAGTGGAAATACAAGACAGAGACACTCTGATATCAACAGGTGACATTTGATTTGATTTTTTTGCATTTCCGTGTTTACTCTCAAAGCAGATGATTTTATCACAGTTACTTAATGCGGTTATAAAGTTATTCATGCATAGAAAAATAATTTATACATATTCTAATTTTTCTTTTTTGACCCAATACGAACAAAACAGGAAACCCTTAAAATCTGATAACAAATGTCACTTTTAGACTCTCGTTGTGCAAACACAATATTTATGTCTCACATTGGTGCATTACATTAAAAATAGGTGTAGACATATGAGATATATATATATATATATAGTGTGTGTGTGTGTGTGTGTGTGTGTGTGTGTGTGTGTGTGTGTGTGTGTGTGCCTTCATCCTATCATGGTGTTGTTTGAGGCTCTCATATATATTTGTGAGGGTTTATCTTACTGACAGTAAATGTTGGTCGCTCTAAAATGTGTTACACTTCAGTGAGAGCAAGTCTGAAGATTTTGTCATTATTCCCACATTTTCGGAATATCGATGACAATAATAACTATTTGTGTTAAGAACAATAGGAACTTCTGTCAGGCTGAAGAGAAACTGGTGTGAATGTGAGCACAGATGGTTGTCTCTGTGTTAGTTCAGTAACAGACCGGTGACCGGTGCCCTGCCTCTCGCCCTATGACAGCTGGGGTGAAATGTAAAAGGATCAATGAAAGGATGTTTAAGGCAGGAAAGAAAGAAGTAGTCTGATGGAGAAGAGTACGGTGATGTAAAAGAGGAAGACAATTAGACAGGTATTAGAGAAATACAGAATATATCGAACACAGCAAAAAGAAGGAAAAGATGCAGCTGGAGAGAAAGTTCACTGATCTGTAACATTCAGCACAATTTTCCTGGAATACTTCCTTGTACCATATGCAGTGCCTGTTTGCCCGTGCTGCTTACTTCACTTCACACAAGTTTGAATGCTTCACTCTGAAATATCACTCCACACTCAGACTGCTGCTTACCTTTTGTTCCTGAATGAGCGGCTGCTTTGAGTTCTGTCAGTGTTGGTCTCTCGTCCTCTGGACCTGTCTGTGCTCACAGGGAAGTGTGAGTAAGACATACTGGTCTCCTCAGAAGTCTCCACCCAGCTGCAACAAAGAGGTTCTCTATTCACATTCCTGAGATAAAACCCACAGTGGCACAATGACTGTGGAATTCACCTGTTAACGCTGCACGTACCGTAAGAACGGCCGTTACAAAATACTTGAATTGCCCATGATTTATGCATACCTGTTTGACATTATGTCCTGATTCTAGTCATATATCATTTATAAGTCTGAGTCAGTGGATTTATGTTTGTTTTAATTTATACAGCTGGTCCCACTGAGGCTCAATGTCTGATCATTAAACTAACAATGAAATACCTCACATTGTCCAGTGTTTACAGTCATATCATATTGCCTATAACTATGGTGTAGCTTACATTATATCTCCAAGCAGTTCTGAGCTGAATCTATTCACACTGACCTTTGACCTACCTTTACCTGAAATATTTCACAGAAGGAAACGAGGAGACAAAGTCATCTGTTTTCCAGAAATCACAGCTCTGCACAATAGAAAGCTAACAGAGGCATTAAAAACTGCCATAAAGCTGCAAAACAAGGAAAAGGATGACTTTTTTATTCATACCTTACTGGGTCAACCGGCTGCACTGGTTGTGTTTTACTGTTTATGTGCACCACGAGTCTTATCATGGCCCTGCCCATTAAAGAAATATGTAAGCACTTTGTTGCAGTTGCTGCTGCTGCTAAAAGTGAGGGAAGTTTAGGATATCTCTGCATTGGACATCCTAAATTATCTGAGACAATCATCATCAGTATGTAAAAGTCAGGAACAGGAAACAGGAAACAAAAAAAGTCACTTTAAGGGAGAAACCACATATTTCTTCCCGTCAGTAAGACGTGAAGATTGAGATCAGGGGATCTACAGCAATCTGCAGTTTTTTGGTTTTTCAGGTGTGTAATTTTTCAGCAAGAAAATGATCTAGAAACCTCCCAATGCAGAAAAAAACCTGCACAGAAAATACACAATGTAGCTGTGAGTCATAGATTAACCTCCCACAACCTGGATTTCAGCATTATTCAATCAGCATGAGATCATCCTAACAGATAACAGAAGAAAAACCCAAATTCCCAAAGAATCTACTCGAAAAAGCTTCGAGAAATGTTGGATAAATTCAAGAAATTATAAAGAAACTTACTAAAGAGAATTCAGGCCCTGTTGGTCACGCCAAATATTGACTTTCGATCTCTTTAGAGCTGTCAGTAATTCAATATTTTTCCCATTTCTCAAGCAGAAATATTTAACCTGAAAACTGAGAAGTGGCTCAAGACTCTTTCACGGTACCATGTATACGGTGACATTTCATTTTTGTTTATTTTCATTTTGCTGTCAGGTAATTTTAATGCAGATACTGACTAGAGTAGAAGGGTATTTAGAGTATTTTGAGAGAGTGTTTTTATATGTGTTAAATCTTGTCATGTTACTTCTACAAAGAACAAACGTATTCTCGGAGATTTGTTTCCGCGTACTCGGGTACGGGACTGTGAACCTGGAAATTCCGACTTATTCAAGAAGGCACTTAAACACATCACTGCGACGTTGGATCATATGACGTGCGACGCAGGCGTAGTCGGGAATTTAAAAACTAAAGGACTTTCTGGCCAGTTGTACTGTGACGTGATTTTGGTGACATCCGTGGACATGAGATTCATTTTGTCCTCCGTGGCGCTCGTCTTGTGTGTTGACGTGCTGCACAGTCTGCCGCACACGTATTTGCAGGTAACGTGACACAATGTTTTCATCATGCCTTACTTCCGGCCAGAGTCTCGTGATCCAGTTAGCCTAACTGGCTGCTCGGTCTGTGTTCATGTAAAGCGCGTTTTTAAACTACAGGCGAACACCTGATGTTGTAAGTTTGCTCAGGCGCTGATTTTCATGGTTGGAGATGAATTGCTAAAGCTGTGCGGTCAAATATTAAAACGTCATTTCATGCTCTATCGTTTATTTCGTGCTAAGCGACCTGCACCGTTACAATAATTCATGGCAATATTTTTGCTTTAGATTGACTCTGTGATTGACAACGTCATATAAAAACTCGGGAAGACCAACACCCAGATTATGAATGATCATAAGCTGACCTCCCAGCCCAGTGTTCATTCACTGCTGCTCGTTTCAGTCACTGTGCAAACGTCCTGTTTATAAGGTTGGAAACCTGCAGTCAGCTGAGACTGAAGACGTCAGCTGATGATGACGAAACGTCCAGATGAACACAATCAGCTGGTGTTGCTTATGTGATGTGTTTTTCTGTCTGTCTCTCTTATAATGAAACTACCATAAAAAATTAGAGACTTTATTTTTTGTAACTGAGCAATGTTGCAGAGTCAGCAATAATTACTTCCCCTGCTATGTTTTGGTTCTGCAGTTAAACATGAAATTCTCTGAGTGTTCACAGAGAAAGTCACACTACGATGGTTTTTAGCAGACCTGGTTTATTTTTCCACAGGAAATAGTGGGCAAACATGGATTTACTAATGCCAATAATTGGATTTGTGCCCACAGCAAATTTCCAAGGAAAGATATTCATGATTAAATAAAAACTCTTAATTTCTCAGTAGTTGGTTCTTAATTTTTGTTATTCTCACCAATGTAAGTGTCTGTTGTAGATATCTGTAATTCAATTACAACTACTGATATTTTATCATTAAATAGTTTAACTCCATTAAAACTAGGGATGGGAACCAAGAACCAGTTCCTTGGATTTCTTATTGATCCCACTTATTGGTTTTTGTGAAATCAGTTGATTTCCGTTTGTGTGTCAGAGGAGGAGAATAGCAGCGCAGTATACATCGTGCACATGCACATTACTTTTAAAGGATGAGGCGCAGTGGTAAAGTGGAGGCTCCATCCCAGGACAGCTGGGTTATACTCTACAGACAACATGGGAACGTTGGGAACGCCAAGAGCCCAGAGTGATAAAGCTGAGTGTTTTGTCGACTTCGGCCCAGCAGAGCTTGAGCTTCAACAGGGATTTGTTTGTGGTGTGTGGACTGGAGCCTACAGGTTTATATGCTTCTCAGTTCCCAATTATAACTGTTGTAAGTTTTCATTTAATAATTCAAATATCTGAAAATTATTCAGATATTCGATCGTGGCTCAAGAGTTGGGTGTTCGTCTTGTGATTGGAAGGTTGCCGGTTCGAGCCCCGGCTCGGACAGTCTTGGTCGTTGTGTCCTTGGGCAAGACGCTTCACCTCCCGCCTGCTGGTGATGGCCAGAGGGGCCGATGGTGCGATATGGCAGCCTCACTTCTGTCAGTGCGCCAGGGCAGCTGTGGCTACAACTGTAGCTGCCTCCACCAGTGTGTGAATGTGAGAGTGAATGAATAGTGGTATTGTAAAGCGCTTTGAGGGTCTCGAAAAGTGCTATATTAATGCAATCCATTATTATTATTATTATTATTATTATTATTATTATTATTGTTATAGTTGTCACTGGTGAGAATACCCATTTTCTATCTAGATGGTTTCCATACTACAGATATCAGACATGGATTTGAAATGACCATTAAATGCCTGATTGAGGAAAAAAGTTACCAGTTTGTGCACAAACCAGTAACAATAATTCACAATGTAAAATGACACTCCTGTTTAAAGTCTTGATCTTTATGCATTTCATTCCTTTTTCTAGTCACGACAGCATCATGACGCAGATCCACGGTTCACAGAGAAGTTTTTCACTCAGACTCTGGATCACTTCAACTTCAACAGTATGGGAAATGGGACATTTAATCAGCGCTACCTGATCACAGGTGAATGTAGTTCCCTGTTAATAATATAAGACATTCAGCAGCAAGTGATCCGTAATATCGGTCTCTCCTGTCCTCTTAGATCAGTACTGGGAAAAAGGCTTTGGACCCATCTTCTTCTACACTGGCAATGAAGGAGACATCTGGGAATTTGCCCTGAATTCTGGATTCATCACAGAGCTGGCTGCACAGCAGAGGGCGCTGGTCATATTTGCTGAGCATGTAAGAAGATTCTTTTACAACTCAGACAGTGTTTGTGACCAGTCTATTAGTGGCTCAAGACTATTTGCACCTCGTGTAACAAAAAGGCAAGTAGAGTAAAGCTGAAGCTAGAGTAAAGCATGAGGATGTAGGAGGACGTCCTCATGCTGGACCTGTGAGCTGCAGCAGCTGGACCGTGGCTGCCCGTCTTCTGATTGTTGCTTAAAGCTTGAACTTCTAGTTTGCTTGTTTCTGTCTAACAGAGGTACTACGGCAAATCGCTACCATTTGAGAAAGACTCCTTCAACATACCTCAGATCAGCCTGCTGACGGTGGAGCAAGCCCTGGCTGACTACGCCATCATGATCACTGAGCTGAAACAGCAGCTGGGAGCCACAGACTGTCCAGTCATCGTGTTCGGTGGCAGGTACGATGCCCCTAACTCACACCAACATCATTGTTCTCTGCTTGTGTGACTTGCCTTTAGCTGTGCTTTACACTGTAGGTATTTATTTCTTTACTTTAATATTTGGGCATATCAACAAAGCCTGTTAAAGCCGGTTTAAATGAATGTTTATGTCCTGCCCCTAGACATAACAACTTTTGATTCCAATTTCTAATAACTTGCTTTAATTAGATTTTTCCTCATTCTTGAAATAATTTTTTAAATTGGATATTAAGTAGAGATGGACAGGAAATGTGGTTAAGACATGCAGCAAAGGTCAAGGGTCAGGCTTGAACCCAGCTGCTCACGCACTGAACTAAAGCAGCAGCCTGCAATGAAACAAGCTTCTCTGTTCTGACAGTGTAAGGTTACTAAAAGACATTTCCAGGATAAATAGTGTTTGGGAATCAGACACCAGATCTAACAGGAGCCGCAGAGTGCAAGCTTCAGTAACCTCTGTGTGTTCCTGAAGTGTAAAATGATAAACGAATAATAAGTTGACAAGTTTAAACACACAGGTATTTACAATTCTGGCATGTGTGAGTCTTCTTTATGATATATGCTGATCTGTTGTTTATTGTATCTGCTCCTGCAGTTATGGTGGGATGTTGTCAGTTTATATGAGACTCAAATATCCAAACATAGTGGCTGGAGCTCTGGCCGCCAGCGCCCCCATCCTGTCCACTGCTGGCCTGGGAGACTCCAGGCAGTTTTTCCGAGATGTTGCGAGTGTAAGTTGCTTCCTTTCCTTCTCTCCCAGCTCGTGACGCTGTATGATTGAGAGGCAAACATGGAAAGACTTTTCTGTATCCACCCACTTTAAAGTGATCTTTAACTAAGCTGCAAGTATGGACAAACCAACCAAACAGAGCTTTTAAACAGGCCCAGTGTTGTTGTTGAAAAAGGAAGTGAGCCCATGTATTTACTTCATGTATAAGCTTCACACGAGGATTATCCTGCCCACTGCACTTCCTCAGCTGAGGACGTTTGCTGACATGCAGTGTTTTCGTGTTGTTGTTGCTGTTTTAATGCGTTATGGTCTTACTGGGTTGGACAGAATGAGCCAGGATTAAAGAAGAAGAGATTGCAGAGTCAGAATCACTGCACTTCTG